CCAAGACCTGAAACGAGGAGGCTCGTGTTTTAGGAGAAGCAAGAGTAAATGAAAAATCAAAGGAGAAATTAGAGAATAAAAAATTTAAAGATGAGTGGGTCCCACAGGTCTTGGTTTTAACATTACGGGTCTCTTCTTTTCTTACAACAAGTTGGAAGACAACTAAAAAGTTGAATTAGAGTACAGTCACACGAGTAGGTCCCACTGGGATAGAAATAAGGAAAGAACAACAAATATAACTGTTAAAGAGTGCTGATAATTTGGTCAGTTCAGTTAGCTGGAGTTTAAAATTTTTTAAACCGAACCGAGTCGAATAAATAACAAACTAAACCAAATTATGAAAAATCAGATGGTTTTCAGTCGGTTAATTCGGTATAGACCGAAGTTTGCTCAACCTTAAGTTAATTCCTAAAAACAAACTAAGCTGATTATTTTTGGATTTCAAACAAAAATAGGTATTGGTGATGATCTTTTGGAAATCTAAAAATCTACTTGGCTCTGTCTTGTTATAATAGGCGATTTACATATATAATATATTAAAAGGCTAAAATACCAAATTGGTACTTTTATACAAACCATTTTGCTAGTTTGGTATTTTTAGAAACTCTGGCGATGATAAGACATTTAATCTCATACTTTTTGTCAATAAGACACTTTTCTCAAAATTCCTGTGAGAAAATTTGCTTTTAACCCCTCATCTCCCAAAATTATTAAATTTATACCTAAAATTATTACAAAAATATTTCATCCCCTCCCTCCCCCTCCTCCTCCTCGTCGACGTCCTCCTCCTCCTCCTCTCCCATTCCCCTCTCCTCCCCTCATCCGCCTCCAAAATGTTTAGGGTCGAGTTCGATTAGGTTCTTGATTGAGGACTCACACATATCGACATCGCCGTGAGTACATGACCCGCTTAGGATCGAGCCCTATATGGGTGCATCAGGCTTCATCGATATTGAGTTCACTACACCCCCACGCTCTTTCGATGAGCCCAGTCCGTGCGTAGAGATCTACGATGCATCCATAATGCTTTTAAGGAATTCTTCTGCTCCTCCACAAAATCTAGATTTATCTAGGACGTCTCTCATGCAATTAAACTTAGCCTCAAGAGGGATGTGGATAGATTTCAGCTCAGCATCCGCTAAGGATTAAGTGAAATATATAAGAAATGTGAGAAGAATTAAGTGGAAATGGGTCTTCAGAACGTTTGATATGTAATGCAAATACTTTACGTCGTAACCGAGCATACTTTGCTGGACTGATTGCTTCCTCTTCTTCAAAACATGAAGTGAGAAGATAAATTGGGCTTAATATCCAGCAAATCATCCTCTTCTTGGATTGACTTCAATCTCTCAGGCTGTCTTTTGTATTCTCTGACTGAAACAGACTCAGGCAATTGAGCGCATCTATCAAAAGACTCAGGTCTTCGATCATGCAGGTCTAGGTGAGCACATTCCTCTCCGGAATCACGTGGAAGAGCCTACAGGCGAGGTCGAGGTGCCCAGTGCATAGGCAGGACGAGACGACAGAGTTGTAGCAGGTGAGGTCGGGAATATTTTTGTGATAATTTTGGATATAAATTTAATAATTTTGGGAGATAAGAGGTTAAAAGAAAATTTTCTCGTCGAAATTTTAAGAAAATTGTCTTATTGACAAAAAGTACGAGATTAAATGTCTTATCATCGCTGGAGTTTTTAAAACTACCAAACTGGCAAAATGGTTCGTATAAAATACCAATTTAGTATTTTAGCCTATATTAAAATCGTCCTTCTCGATTGAGAGATATGGTCGTTTCTTTGCGGGTAAGTCAACGATATGCATGTATCCATGTTTACTCGTGATGGTTCTGCTTCTCCATGAATTTATTCATTATGCATCCTACATCATAAATATGTTGCAATGGAACAGTTCTTTTCTAAGAAAATGTACATTAAAAATGTGTATACACTTTCTGGTTGTAAAGAAATACATATAAAGATTTTCTAGAAAGGTAAACATGAAGGAGAAAGGGTGCATTTGGTACGGATACGACTCAGATATGATACTTACCATATTCATATCCATATCCTACCCATGTTAGATACGGATACAGATACATGTATATCTCGATAAGAAAAATTCATATCTGTATCCGCTAAAATTGTATATGAATACTAAAATACACACGAATATGTAAATGGATATGCATATGGATACAAAACGAATATGACAAAATAGATAATATTGAAAAAAATATAGTTCATGTCATACAAAAGAGTTCATTTATATGTTCACTATATCTGAAAAGCTAATCTTAGACATATTGATCATCAAAGTTAACCTAAAATCCATAATATGAGGATTAAAATTATCATAACAGTATGCCTAATATGTAGTATGATATTTCGCACACGGATCCGGATATTTCACTACAAAACCATATCCATAACCATATCCTATCGATTATAGAATTGACTAACCATATTCGTATCATAGCAGATATAGTTACGGATATTTCCTCGTATATGGATATAGTTTAGCACCCCTAGAAGGAGGTCATTATTGTTAACACATCAATATTATTAACCATATATCCATAGGAAGAATTATTGATGATGATGGAATCCATTAAGCATGATCTCCACAGCCGAGTTCTTATAGTTTGAGGAGTATGTGTAGGTTTTATAGAGAATTTTTAGATCGCGTAAAAACCCTGAAAACCCACCAAAAGCAGCAAATAAAATCACATAAGATTTAACGTGGAAAACCCTCAACAGGAAAAATCACGAGATCAAAATCAATCCACTATCACCTCCAAATTACAATCTTTTGCACGGATAAAGACTGCCAAACCCCCTCTCTTTCTCTTTCTCTCTACACTTCTTCTTCTTTTTTTCCCCTCTAACAATAGAAGGACATATATAGGGAAATCAAAACCCTATCTCTAGCCTAACTTCCTAATTAGAATAAGATTCAAACTCCTAATCATGATGAAAGCCAAACTCCTAATCATGATAGATCTCTAACCATATCTAATTCTCATGAAGTTCTACAAATAATTAAAAACACTATACTAACTTGGAGTTTGAGTTGATACCCAACAGGTTTGAAGTGTAGGTTTCTTTTGTAATCATCTTTCATTCTTTATTTTTATATCTACGTACCCGTCATTCATTATTGCCCTTGTTTTGTCGAACCAACCCTATAAATTTCCCCTCTTTGTGAGTTAAATGTCGACTAGCCATCTATATGTTAATATTCTTTTAGGTTTCCGAACACATCGTATGATGTCAAGGACCTAGCTAACATGTTGCTTCCATGCTTATACAATTATAGGTTGACGATATCTTTCTAATTGTTACAAATCTAGGTAGGTTTTGTAATGACCCGAAAGAGATTTCCAAGCAAATAAATTAGACTAAGACATGCATGATTCCTCAAAGTTGTTGCAGTCATGAGTTGGATAATTATTTGCACCTAATCTTTCGTAGAAAAATACACCATGTTGATACCTAAGATCACCTATCCATTAGCACACAATGACACATGTTAATTTTGGATTTGAGCGCATTTCTCCCGACCTTGAACAAAATGTTTCTCTTCAACTCTTGTCACAACTTGAAAAAGTAATTTGTAATAACAGACTTTAAGATAGCAATATAGTCTAAATCTAAATCCAACTAAGACACGCATGGTTCAAGAAGTTTCCAAGCAAATAAGATAGACTAAGACAAGCATGAGCCAAAAGAAATTTCTACGCAAATAAGATGGACTAAGACATGCATGACAACCCCCCTGACGATTCATGATCAGTGCACAACATTATTAGATTGAATTCCAAAGCATTGAGGTGATTAATTAGAATAGAATCTCAATAATATAATGAATCACATCTATCTCGATAGCTTCACAACTATTGTCTGTTTGTGTGTATTTCGCTACTAGGGTTTGCTAGGGAAAAAAGAAATATATATACTAGGGTTTGCTAGGGAAAAAAGAAATAGATAGCATGTTCATCTAACTTTTTTGTCTTTTATGGTGTGTTTGGGAGTTTACGTAGAGCATGTTTGGATTTGTAGGGGGTGAAGGGAAGTTAAGGGAAACTAGGTGAGAGAATGGAAGAGAAGGGAAGGGAGTTCCCTTCCCCTTGGTTACACCCCAATTTGGGGGTAACAAATTTTATACTATTAGGGGGTGAACCAATGGGAACTAGGGTGAATAACTTCACCTCCTAAATGTTCCCAAACAAGGTGAATGGAGGTGAATTGTTCACCTAACTCCCCTTCACCCTTATTCTCCTCAATCCAAACAAGCCCTTAGGAAAGAGAAGAAAGGAGAAGGAAGGGGAAAAATTCCCCTTCCCTCCTTTCCCCTCCATTACACCCCAATTTGAGACCATCTCCAACCCATTGCACCAAAATGGTGCAAATTTTGCATCAAAATGGTGCAAAAGTCACATCAAACAGTAATACATCTCCAACCCATTACACCATTTTTTGCACAAAAAAAAAGAATATTCTCAGAATATTCTCAGTTTATTTCCTTTTATCTATTTTTATATTAATTAAGAGGTAAAAATAAATATTTAAAACTTTTTTTTTAAAAATGAACAGTAATGGGGCGGATGAACAGTGCAACGCCATATTTGGTGCAACACTGTTCAACTGCACCAAAATGGAGCAGAAAATGGGGCTGAGTTGGAGAATGAACAGTGCAACAAAAAGCACTGTTTGCACCATTTTGGTGCTGGGTTGGAGATGCCCTGAGGTGTAACACTTTGGGCCAATTTTTCCCTCCATCCCCCTCCTCTACCCCCCAAAATAAAACTCTCAAACAAGGTTAAAAAGAATTTCCCTTCCCTTCCCTCTCTCTACCCTCCATCCAAACATGCCATAATAGATTTGCTTCGATAAAAAGATTGAAATAAAAAGATACACGAGGAACCGGTTTTTTCACACGGTTGTAGCAGCCCACGGATCCCCAGAAGTCCCAAGATCTATTCATGCATCCAGATGATGACAATGATATCGTCCTCAAACAAGTTGTGACCTATTAGTAAAGAGAAAATGGATACATAGAGATATTGGATTCATGCTCAACTTGTGAAGAGTATTTCCTCTGTGAGCTCACGAGGGATGCAAATTACAAAGGATTTGTGTATCCAGAAGGCATGGATTTGGTTGTGGACACGTCCCCTGCGTTGTAACCCGTGAATCTAGTTTGGATATTACTTCTATCATATGCTCATCACATCCAATGTCATTGTACAACTGTTCGGTTACAAACATAGAGGAAATCAATTAAATCTCCAAGAACTTAAAAACAAAGGGGGAAAAAAAAGAAAAGAAAATAACACAAGGTTCCTTCTTTGGAAATCATTTAGCAAACATTTTCCTTGGCCCCATTTGCTTCACAGAAATCCCTTCTCTTGGAAGCTTTTGATGCAATCATCAAACATCTGAGGAATAGTTTTGAAAGCTTGAAGCCCTAGCTCCTTGATCTTTTTAGTGTCCATGCTATGAGGGTTGTTATCTCGTTGCATCTCATTACACCTGGTTTTTAATTATTTGTTTGGTTTCATGTTAACTCCACAATGTGATGTTCCAAATAGAGTAACATTTTTAAGAGAGAGCAATGAGTATGACATACTAGGGGCTTCTTCCATGTACAATGATGTCGGTTGAATTTCAGCCAAATGATATAGATTAAATTAAATAATTAATAAGGAAGCCTATTTATTCACTTGGTTGAGAGATTCAGTCACATCATTGTATCGTATATAATATGTCGACATTTGGGGGTTGTTCATGAAACGGAATAGAGGAAAGTATAGGATGCTTACATAGTTGGCAGCTGATACGATGGATATTTTGACCTGATCATCTCGATAATCTCAGACCAATGGGCAACACTGCTTGAACATATGAGCCTCCCTGAGGCCCTGCTGTCCTCCATGGCTATCATATGTGCGGAAACCACATCATCAATATGAACAAACCCCAATGTTAGGTTAGGAATCGAAGGGCCTGCACCATAGGAATTCAATCATAACGCTTCATTTTCTAACAAGAGATAATTGCGCATAGACCCACTCTAAGTACCAACGTTTCGAACGTACCCCTATAGTTTCATTGTTGTAGACAGAACCCCTTGAGCTAAATATTGTGTTGACTCTTATACCCCTAAATGGACATACTAATTCACCCGGGGACGATATCTGCCAAAGTTTCACCATGGGTAAAGGAGTAAAAAATAAGATCTATCTGCAATGAAACTACATCGGTAGTAAGCTCAAAATTGAGAAGCTACGAATTCTCTACGATACTACATGGAGCTATTAGTTATTTATTACTCCTAAAATTTTTAATCAGCACCTACACCTCCTTATGCCCAAACAAAGTCATCCGATCCCTCCGTTATTTATGTCTACACTTCGCAGGTCTATGTCTGCGCTTTTAAAACAATTAGGGGTCTCTCTACAATAGATTGAAATATCAAAGGTTTTCACCGCAAGAAATTGATGTCAGGTGATATCCACATGACGAGTAAAAATAACGGATAAATAACTCCAGTTGGTCTTCGGTAAAGTCCAGTTACTAACCTTTCATGACGGAGAGGAGGAATTGGAGGGTGCTAGTAGGCTGTGGTGTGATCAGAGGTCCAACAACAAACGATGGATGTACAACGACGAGGTCCGTGTTATGTTCCTTCGCCAGTCGCCATGCCTCTTTCTCCGCCAGTGTCTTGGCATAAGCATACCACAGCTGCCATTGAAATTGATCATGAGCATTGAAGAGAAATATAATTTTTTTTAAAAAAAGGGTAAATTGCAGAAAACCTCCTACACGTTCAGTGGTACTTAACACCCTTTTGGTCATCTTTAGCATTTTGTACCCCTCAAATTAAATCACAAGGGAGAGGAGGCTATCCGCAAATTTATCCTTATATTCAATAGAAATGTTAGGGGCACACCCCAAGTCACACCTCCAACCACACCTCCACGTCTCATTCGCTACAGTACTCCGGGCCCCACATGAGTTTTTAAAATTTAAAAACTAATGTGGGGCCCGGAGTACTGTAGCGAATGAGAGTGGAGGTGTGGTTGGAGGTGTGGTTTGGGGTGTGCCCCTAACACCACTCTATATTCAAAGTGCCTAGTAAAATAATTCAGGGATGATAAGTGCTGCCGAAGGTATAGGTGAGAGAGTAATCTGCCACTTCTCGAAGCAAGAAAAAATGAATGTGAGGAGCATACATTGTATTTCCTGCAATAGTCTGTATCACTCCAGTGTGACTCATTGAGCGGGGAGATCATATCAGCGTCCTCGTGGTACCTTATCGCGGCGCAGGTGGATGTGAGCACCAATCTTTTAACTGATCTTGCTTTGGCGCAGGCATTCAGTACGTTCATTGTGCCTCTGATTGCTGGCTCCATCATTACCTCCTGCATCAAACCTTAGAATTTTCATTAACTATTGGTCCTAATTAACTTTCTATTATGTACATTAGTTATTTTTAATCTTTTAACGGTCTCCTTTCATTTGCGAGTATATTTCAGTCATCCAATCAACCCTTTTGAGGCATGTCCATCGTATAGTATAGGCAAGGGCATGGTTTTTAAAATTAAAATGTTTCATCCCACAAAATAGTTTTTTTAACTTTAAATATAAGAGTTTTTAAAATCAGAATATATAGAACTGGACTCTATATCAGATTAGGTGTAGAGTTGGATGTATGATTTATTGAGGTGGACGCCACCAACTGTTTACTAATCTCTTCGCGTGTGGCTTAGATCATAATATAAAATTGTTTAGGGAAAACATGTAGTTTTAGGTGGATTGATATTTGATAGGTACAAATCTCTCCAAAACTCAGACTGGGCTAAATGGTCCTTCCCCCGTTTGCAAGGGAGAAACCAAACCTGACTTGGCCTAAATTGACAACGATCAACAACACGATATCAAGATCCACAAAGTCTCCAATGCTATTTACAAATTGACTTGATCTGAATCGACAACCATGAACAATAACGCGATGCCAACATCCGTAAAATCTCTATTACTGTCTACGAACTAATTATACCTTACTCTGACTTGATTTGATGTATGATGTAGGTCTAACCTTAATGTTAGCTTGAGGGCAGGCAGTATGGAAAACACCGTCGACGCCATCCACTGCCTCATCGAAGCTTCCATCCACCACCAACTCAGCCTTCACCAGCCTCAGTCTCTCTTTAGCACCATGAAAGCTCCATAGATGACCAACCTTCTTCTCATCATCTGATTCCAAATATATATCATTTTAGCGAAATAAACCGGTATATGTAATTTTATGAAATTGAAGTGTATAAGATTTTTGGACAGTAATTAAGTTACCAGGATCTCTAACGGTTGCACGAACAATGTGGCCTTTGGATAGAAGTTCTCTGATCAGATAGGAGGCTATGAGTCCATTTCCTCCGGTCACACAATATTCTGGCATCTCTCTCTCTCTCTCTCTCTCTCTCTCTCTGTATCTTGCTAATTGATAGTCTTCATGAAGTAATTAACTTAATTGTTTTTAATTTTAATGCAAGATGATCACATAATCTTTTTAATTATATGGATTTAGGAAAACGAGGAACTTGTCTCATAGAGAAACTAAAGATGTCATAGCATCACATGGAGCAAGAAAAAAAATATATTAGGGAGATATTTCTTACACAAGTGTATTACAGTTTCAATTATACATACAATCTTTTTTTTAATCTATTTTAGTAATAGTTTTGCGCCCATCTTTGTTTTTTTTCTTTTTTTCCCCTGCATTGTTCATCTAAAGTCGAATTGACTTTGTATTATATGGCGATGATCACAAACTACTAGCTCCGCCTCTACTTAAACATGATTAACATATTGGATTTGAGATGCAAGCCCATAGAGGGGATGAATAAGGTTGCTAATGTTTTGAGCCAAAAACACAGAATATGCAATAGAAAAGATGCAATAAAAGTGATCAACGATAATCAAATACAAAAGGCAACCAATCAGGAACATATAAGATTTTATATTGGTTCGGACAACAATCCTACCATCACTTTTCTTTCTCGCGAATGGAATTCCTCATTATGCAAAGAGTTCTCCTCAATCACAAACCTAATTTAGTAGGCTTACTGTTAGGTTATGTGGAGCCAAATTTTCAGACCCGGCCCAATTCGCTTAAGTGGTCAAATCGTCAGAACCCCAATTCGCCTACATGTAATTTTAAGTCACACTAATACCCTAGCTATAAAAGGGTGATTAGGGCGCAGCTTGTAAACTATTCAGAACATAGTGGAATTTACCTACGGCGGCCGTGGACGTAGCTTCTCTCATCGAAAAGTGAACCACGTAAATTCTGTGTGTTCTGTGATTTGTTTTTTCCCTCTCTTCACTCTCTCATCTCTATTTCCAAATCACAACAGTGGTTAGAAAAACCCTAACAAGTGGTAGTAGAGCGGTCAGGTTCAGCGCAGGCGATTTGAGGTTAGATATGGGATCAGAGAAGGAGACGTCGAAGATCGAGAAGTTTGATTGGACAAACTTCAGGTACTGGAAGATGCAGATGGAGGACTGCCTCTATCAGAAGGATCTGTATTTGCCGTTAGGAGAGAAGCCGAAGGATATGAAGGATGTAGAGTGGAAGTTGTTAGATCTGAAGGCCCTTGGAGCAATCAGGTTGATCTTGTCCAGATCTGTGGCCTTCAACATCAAGAATCAGAACTCGATGGCGGACCTCATGGCTGCTTTATCCAGTCCAGTATGTATGAACAACCCTCTGTAGCGAATAAGGTACATCTCATAAAGAAGTTATTTAATTTGAGGATGTCCGAGAATCAAAAATTCAAAGATCACTTGAATGAGTTTAATGAGATCACAGATCAGTTAAACTCCATTAACATTAAATTCGAGGATAAAATTCAAGCCCTCTTAATACTTGGTCAGTTGCCTAATAGTTGGAAGGGCATCGTTATTTCGATTAGTGGATATTTTGGAAAATCAAAACTGAAGTTTTCAGAGGTTGTTGACATGGTTATGATCGAGGAGATTAGAAGGCATGAAGAAGGAGTTTCTAGTTCAAGGTCGCCACTGAATGTTGAGATCAGAGACAGAAATAGAAACAGGAATAGAGGGAATAGACATAGGAGACCTAATTCGAGGAACGGCAGGTCAAAGTCGAGAAATCGTAGAAACAAGAAATTGATTGATTGCTAGAATTGTGGTAAGTATGGACACTATGAGAATCAGTGCAGGTAACCCAAGAAATATAAAGAGAGCAAGACTGAAGCAAACGTCGCCTCCGGAGAATCAGATGATACTCTCATCTACTCGTTGGAGAGCAAAACAAAATCGTGGGTTCTGGATTCGGGAGCATCGTTTCATGCTACATCAAATAGAGATCTATTTGAGAACTATGTTCTAGGAAATCTAAAAAAAGTCTACCTTGGTGATGATCATGCGTGTGATGTAGTTGGAAAGGGAGTGGTGCAGATCAACCTCAATGGGTCTGTATGGAAGTTGAATGATGCGAGACATGTTCTAAGCTTGAGGAAGAATCTGATCTTCATAGGACAGCTAGCAAAAGAGGGATATGTATCAACCTTCGCATGTGATACATAAAAGATTACCAAGGGTCTATGATTGTTGCACGTGGCATAAAGAGTGGGTCTCTTTATATGACGACAGATGCATGTGGATCCATTGCAGTGGTTGAGAGCAAAGAATATCCAAATTTATGGCACCAAAGGCTTGGTCACATAAGCAACAAAGAGCTAAAGGTTATGCAGTCAAATGAGAAGTTGCCAAGTATGAGGTCGACTGGTCTTGACTTATGTGAGAGTTGCATCTTTGGGAAACAGAAGAGAATAAGCTTCAAAAGAGTTGGCAGAACTCCAAAGGAAGAGAAGCTTGAGCTAGTTCACACAGATGTGTGGGGTCCAGCATCAGTCCAATCTACTTGTGGAAGGTTATATTTTGTGACCTTCATAGATGATCACTCGAGGAAGACTTGGGTCTATTTCATGAAATACAAATTAGAAGTGTTCGAAGTCTTCAAAAGGTGAAAAGCTATGATAGAAAATGAAACGGGTTTGAAGATCAAGAAGCTTCGATCAGATAATGGCGGTGAATATGAAGATTCAAAGTTTAAGAAGTTCTGTTATGATAGTAGCATCATATTGGAGAGGACAATGCCAGGTACTCCATGGCAGAATGGCATAGCTGAAAGGATGAACAAGACGCTGACTGAGAGAGCCAGAAGCATGCGTCTACAAGCAGGACTTCCAAAGCAGTTCTGGGCAGTAGCAGTCAACTCAACTGCCTACCTAATCAACCGGGGACCATCGGTGCCTTTGGAGCACAGAATACCTAAAAATGTATGGAGTGGAAAGCAGGTAAACCTTCCTCATCTAAGAGTCTTTGGTTGTGTTTCATATATTCATTTGAGTGATCATGTTAGAAACAAACTTGATTCTAAATTCTTGAAATGATATTTTATTGGCTATAGTGGTAATGAATTTGGCTAAAAGTTCTGGGATGAGCAGAACAAGAAAGTCATCAGAAGCATGGATGTTGTCTTCAATGAAGCAGTCCTCTACAAAGATTGTGATGTTGTTCAGTCCACTAGTTCGGTGCAGTCTGAGCCTACATACTTCAAGCCAGATGATGTTCCAGATAGGAGCAACCTTGAGGCTAGTTCTAATGAGGAAGGAGCAGAAGAAGTGGAAGAAGAGATGATAGAGGAGACAACTTTAGAGAGGACAGATGCAGAGCCTGGTCCATCCATCAGAGAGTTGAAGCGGACAGCAAGAGTACATGTAGGCATCGAAAATTGCCTATAGGTCTCCGTGAGAAGCTCAAAGCTAAGAGGAGGTGAGGAACATCACTATCCAAGTCACAGAAGCTTGATTGACATCGATGAATGCTTGAAGTGAATCGACGAACTATGTGAAGTAACGAAATTTTAGAATAACGAAGACACGAACTGATCGGGAGTCCCGCGTCGCTTACAAAAGATGAAACGACGCTCCTATCCTAGCTTAATCCATGATGATCTCATCATCAGAGCTTATAGAACTCCTCGTCATCTTTCCAACGCACTTTGAATCACTTAAATCAGAGTTCGGAGGAAGAAATTACGGCGGAAACGGACGAATATGCGGACAAAAGCGTCTCAGCCTGAGTTGAGACACCCCGAGGCGTCTCGGCAGAAGCGAGACACCCCAAGGTGTCTCGGCCAAGACCGAGACACCCAAGGGTGTCCCGGCCTGGCTGAGACACCCAGGGGTGTCTCCAGGCCTAAAAACCGATCGTTGTGTAGTTTCAACCACCTGGACTTCCTTGGAGCCTATAAATACAGCCCCAGGCCCTCATTTTTTTCAGAGTGGGAATTCTCGAGCGTTGGCGAAGCCCTACCGGATTGAAGATTAAAAGTGCACGAACTTCAGAGAGGAGGAGGAGAGATCAGATCGAGTTTATCGGTATAAAGAAGAGGAGCTCGTCAGATCTGCAGTTCCCCGGGTCCGTTCCTTAAGATTATCCCGTTGCGATAATCTTAAGAAGAGCAATTATCTCGCCGTTGCCAAGATAAGCGTTACGGTTTCTTGATTCGTTTACGAATTAACGAAGCTCTGCCTGATTTTTTAGCAATCAGATCTGATTGACGGTGGTCCACGGATATCAACGTCCCCGTCACAGGCCAAGATCCCACGCAAGCAGAAGACCGATAAACGATCTCTGTGTTTGTTTGATAAAGTTGTAAACTTTTTTTATTTTATTTTCATTGTGTAAGGAGATCTTATAAAAAGATCAAACTTTTATTTTATTCGAGTTTATTGTAACGACTAAAGTTGTAATAGATTCGATAGCAATGAAAACAGTAACTTTCGACGCAAACAAACTGGCGACCACAGTGGGAGCCAACAGCCTCGCTGCCGAGGCTGTCGTGCCGCAGCCGATGATTAAGATCCCCGTGGCTGAAAAGGTCGAGTATGAATTCGACCAGCAGAAATTTGAAGAGTACATCTCCTCCTCCAGATCTGCTCCTCTTCATAAGCACAGGAAGATCTCCTCCTCCTAGAAGATCCGTCGGTCTCCAGGTCTGAAGACCTAAGAAGTCGATTTCCACGTCGTCACTGCTACAGTTGCACCTTGCAATGATCCGCCGGCATCCAATGAGACCAGATCTGCAGATCTAAACTCCTTCGCTATCAAGGAGCCGACTGATGAAGACGCGCCAACTCTATCAAAGAGATCACGTCAAAGGAAACGCCAATGCCTCGCGCGCCAATTCGCCAAGGCTTTGGATCAGGTGGATGGACTCCATTACCAAGCAGATCTGGAGTTCAGAAAGCGCCAAGTGGCTAATCTGTCGCCACGACCATCATCGGAATCCTCCTCTCGACCTCCAATTAACGAATGAGTTCGTGTCAAACGAACCCGCTCTACTCTCGAGGAGCGAATCCAGAAGCGCCGCTCCTTGCTTGCGCATGCCCGG